TGGCTTTAGAGTATCTGATGGCACTATTGAACCCCTTCCTAAATACTTAGACGCCATAAAAGACTTCCCCTCCCTACTAGCACCACCGACATCAGGAGTTGGTTTGGCCTCGTCAACCAGGTTTCCAACTACGCCCAGCTGCGCGACTCCACGGCCCCTTTCAAGCCGTTTCTCAGCCCCCACTGCAAATTCTCGTGGTCCACCGAGCTCGAGTCAACATTTCAAGCGTCCAAGGAAGCCATCATTGAAGCTATCCGCCAGGGGGTGGAAATCTTCGACATACAGAGGCGCACCTGCCTCCGCCCTGACTGGTCCAAGCGTGGTATCGGTTACTTTCTCCTTCAGCAACACTGTAGTTGCCCTCCGGTGTTCCAGACTGCTGCCCCGAGGGATGGAGAATCACAGTGGCCGGTTCCGGCTTCTTGAACTCTGCAGAACAGCGCTACGCAGCTATTGGAGGAGAAGCCCTCGCCGTGGCCTGGGGCTTAGAGCAGACGCGCTACTTTACACAAGGTTGCGACAACCTCGTGATAGTCACCGATCACAAACCCCTTATCAAGATCTTCGGCGACCGCGCTCTGGATGAGATCACCAATTCGCGCCTGTTTCGCCTCAAACAGCGCACTCTCCCGTGGCGCTTCGAGATCAGACATCTACCTGGCACGAGTAACCACGCCGCCGACGCTACCTCAAGACACCCTTCCCAATCCTCTACAGAGAACACTGTCTCTCTTGGATCACCCAGCTTCCCCGACATCGCAGAGTTAGCGTTGATGAACACCATCCGCAACGACACCCAGGAGCTAGACGCCATCTCCTGGTCTCTCCTCGCGACAGAGACAGCTGCAGATGTCTCTTTGGGCCCCTCCTACGATCAGTCGAGCAAGGAAAACCGATTGCCAGCGACGACCCTACCCTGACAAGCCTTCGGCCCATCTGCGAGTCTCTCTACGCAGAAGAGGGCGTACTCCTCTACCAGGACCGTGTCGTCGTCCCCCCATCCCTACGCCGCCGAGTCTTACAGAATCTCCACGCGGCCCATCAAGGGACCTCCTCAATGGAACAGCGAGCCCGCGCCATCGTCTACTGGCCGGGGATATCAAAGGACATCCGCGAAACTAGGGAGGGGTGCGCAGACTGCAATCGAAACGCACCCTCACAGGCTGCCACCCCCCCTCTCCCATCTACACCACCATTATCCCCATTTGAAGTCGTCTTCGCAGACTTCTTCGACTACAGAGGCTGCCATTACCTGGTCGTAGGTGACCGCCTTTCCGGCTGGGTGGAAGTCCTAAGTCCAACAGCTGGGACCAACCTTGCCGGCTCAGCCGGCCTAGTTCGCCATCTCCGTTCCTTCTTCGCTACGTTGGGCGTCCCGGAGGAGATCTCAAGCGACGGTGGCCCAGAGTTCACCGCTAAGGGCACACAAGATTTCCTTCGCCTCTGGGGTGTACGACATCGCGTGTCCTCTGTCAGCTTCCCTCAATCGAATGGCCAGGCAGAAGTTGCCGTGGAAACAACCAAGCGCCTCCTGCTGTCTAATACAGGCCCGACGGGCAGCCTCGACCATGACCGCTTCTTACGTGCCATGTTACAACTTCGCAACACTCCGGACCCAGATTGCAACCTCTCACCCGCGCAAATCATATTTGGCCGCCCCCTAAGGGACTCGTTCTCGTTCGTCAACCGCCTTGAGAAGTTCTCGAACCCACACATCAGACCCCTTTGGCGTCAAGCATGGGCAGCTAAGGAGGAAGCTCTTCGCACACGCATCACCCGTACAACCGAGTCGCTGAAGGCCCGCTCCCGCCCCCTCCGCCCCCTGACCCTTGGTGAGAGAGTCTTCCTGCAGAATCAACAAAGCCCAAACCCCACCAAATGGGACCGCTCAGGGGTAGTAGTGGAATCAGCTGGCCACGACCAATACCGTGTCAAGGTGGACGGCTCTGGGCGAATCACACTACGCAACTGCCGCTTCCTGCGAGCCTACACGCCAGCCACGCCCTCTATACGTTCACAGCAGCCAACAGCTTCACAACTACCTACCAGCAGTGCTGACCAGTGCCCAAACCCCCCGCCCTCTGTGCCAACACTACAGACTCCCCAGTCCACGCAGCCCACGGCGGCAACGCCCAACAACCCAAACGTGGTCCAAGCCCCAGCACCACTGTCGCCCCTCACCCCAGCGAGACCGACACAGGTCGACAGTCCAAACCTCGACGTACAGTCCGGGACCTCCAGCTACCAACAAGTCCCGATGAAGACTCCTCAATGCCCCTACGCCACCCCCACTGCCGCCCGAACCGGTTCCACGCCATCGTCGCATCTCACGGCCACCCAAACGGTACGAACCTGAAACAGGAAAATGGGTCACTTGAGTCCTCCTCCCTACGCTTTAAATTGAACCGCTCACCCGTTCCTCATGTTGTAACCCAGTAACTACTGGACTTGTAATGACGTTGTAACCAGTCAATTAATGCATTGTAATCGGGATAGACCTATTGACAAATCTAGACCTGGGGGAGGGGTGAATGAGTAGCTAAAATGTCGTGTGTAATCTACGTATCACTGGCGCGCTAATTCGGATCGATCGATTCAGAAAAGATATATTATTCCTTTATTTGCAAGCTCACACGCTTTATCTGTGCAATTAGCCGACACCTTTCTGGTCGTAAATTTGGTTTATCGATCATTTTCAAGGTGAGTATCACTAATAATAAAAGGTATTCTACTTTGTTTAATGTTCGAGGCACTTGTCTGATGATTTGATGATCGGATATGATCGATAAGTTATAAATATTTCTAAGCCTTTATTTACCTCTCAAAAATTCACGGGTCGATAGGTAAGCAAACCATCACAATATTTTATAAACCAGTAATCGTGCATCTCATTTAAATTAATGAGAGCCATTTATTTGCGGGCTACAAGTACCAGTATTCACAATAGTGATTCATGCATGTGCGGCTTAACAGTCATCTCGCCATCAGTTACAATGAATATCATGACAGTTATTTTATATTTAAGATTATTGTCATTTCGAGAACTGAAAATAAAAATTCCAATCTACAAATAAAGTCACATCTAGCATGTTTATGTGTATTAATATATAGTCCCACAACGATCCATCGCATTCCAGATAACTGATGAACTGTCTAGTTGTCCTCGTGCACCGGTGCTGTACCGGTGCGTAAAGGAATAACCATTGTATTTTCTTTGTTTAGGAGTCATTGGTTAGCTGTTATGTATTTTTTGGTCTTTTGTATCGGCTCTTGTGTACCGGTACCCGAGGACAAAACCAAAATGTGGATTACATTCATCTCATTACAATCCAATTATTTGTGGATTACAATA